CCAGGTTTAATCTATATAGTGGGGTGGCAGATAAAGACTATGCATGTGTGGTGGCTGTATGTAAACACATTCTTGTTATAGTGTGAATGTGACCTTTAAGAGAAGTAGTGTTTTGTTTAGCTATAATTTAATCTACTTCTTGAAGAAAAATTGCTGGAAAACTTAAAGCAGTTCTTTTTTCTGCTTGAGAACATATGCATTGTTTCCTTAAAGTGCTTTTTCAAAAGTAACTAAAAAAGCTTGCAAACATGAGTGGTTTAACTTTAATCATCCCAGATGTTGGCTTTCATAGTGAGTTGCTGTTTGGGTTAGATACAAACACCTTTTGATCAGAGAAAGCAACGTTTCCTGTATCAGGGACAAGTTTTTCTAGGAGTAATGAGAATAGCTTCTCTACTTGGAATTAATAAAGGAAAAAAAATCGATTTGGGGAATTAAGTGTTGGAGGACAAAGTTTTCTGCTTTGTAGGGTGTTCTCTCCACAATTGCGGATATAGTTAGTGGAAAAGCTTGCCACCAGCAACGTGGAGAGCCCTGCAAGGCCTGTTGGCTCTGTATTGGCTCTTAGTTAATGACCCACATTCTCACAGCTGTATTGAGACCTTCTGTGATGTGGCTGTACCAGTGGAAAACAATGGAGTTATTTATTTCCAGCTGTATCTGTCAGATGAATAAAGGAACAATTTGTGCCAGAGTGTGATTGCTGCTGGCTGTAGCACGGAAATTTGTGGGGTTTTGTAGCCAAGAGAGGATCATTTATAAGATTCAGAGATCTGAGGACAAATGGTCAAGCTGTCTTCAAATGCAACATGTTGGGTTTTTCTCAAGCACATCGTGTGTATGTAAAGCCCGGTTGACCAATTCTGGCTACAACAGCTGCATAGTTTGAAAAAACAGTTCAAGGCCCCATAGTGGAACACTTGAAATGAAATTAAATACGGCCTTTACTCTGACCCCTACTAATAAATCTCTTTAACAAAGCCAGCATATACCTCCAAATACACCCTTAACTCCACAGGCTGTACTTGTGTGATTTTTCTGCTGAAGCCACTCAAGCTGTATCCGGTGGCTCTGCCCCAAATGGTGTGAGAGCAGCTATATTCCTCCTTTTACCATGAGCTAAACATGCTCGTAAGGGCATCATCAAAGCTGTGATGATTTGATTGTGAACTGCTTCTCTCAAGCTTAACTAATTCCTCTAAGATTACCTGTCAGTTGCCTCCCAGATAGGGTGAGTCTTTAGTGTGCACCATGAGGACAGAGTTTCTAAGGAAGTGTCTTCTCTAACTAATATGTTGTGTAACCTAATCTGTTTTACATGCATTATTTTGGTTTTTACACTTAAACTGAACTGGATTTTCTGTCCACATTAAAAATATCAGTAATTGTTTTAATACATTTCAAAGTTACCCAAGGCAAGAAAGCCAAAACATTTTACAGTGCTCAGACTCATTGCAAGCATGTCTTTAAGCAAGCTTGGAATGAATGTGTGCTGACCTCAGGCTGTTTTGTTGTTCCAGATGTTTAGCAACACCTATGTAACTCTAGTTTTGACTGCTGCTAGTGAAAACTAGGCAAAATGTGGGGTTTTGTGTGTCTACTGAATAATCAAACCTCAAAAAATGGGAACTTCCTTGAACCAAGCTATGTGGGGAGAAGCTGACAGTACTATTAATTTTAGCTCTGATCAAGCACTCTTGCCTGCCTCAGGCATAATCAAGGAAAGTGGGAATTGTCTGCTTGTGAAAGAGCAAGGTAATACACACATGCTTGCATTTGTGAGCGTCCATTCATGTGCATGCACACACCCTTATATATGTAGACAGACTTCTTCTAGAAGCTGGGACACTCTTGCTGTGGTTCAGCCTGGAGCATGTTCCAGAGGGTTTGCCAGCTCTTGCATATGGGTTTGGGTGGAAATGTTTGTGCACTGTCCTGGTATTGTTCTAAGTGCCAGAGTGATCGCGTTGTTTGAGTGGGATCTTGGTCAGAGGCAATTCTGAGTGAACAAAGAGTGATTCAGAGAATATTGCATTTAATTATTTTTTTCCCCCTATGTATATTCCAGCATTTTATGAACGTTTAACTATGTCTTTGCCCAACCTTGTTAAGTGCCTCATTGGGCTCTAATAGCCAGGAGTGCCATTAGCAGTTCCAGCAGTAAGTGTGACCGTGTATCGTGTACCTGCCAAAGAGCTGCTGGAGTTATGATGAGTAAGGCAACCAAATCCTAGCGCACTCATCAGAAACACGTATCAAATTCCACAGGCTTCTGTTACTGATCAGCAGTATCGGAAGCTGATTCACATGAGCTCCGTGTGCCTTTTCAAACTGTCAGAAATGGACCTCTGCAGCTGTTTGTGTTTTAGCCCTAATTTTTTAGTTCTGTACATGCTGGAGAAACCAAGATGAGTTACTGACTACAACCAGGCTGTACAGCGAGGAAGAGGGACACTTACACTATATCACAGTGTAAATAAGCCCATAACCCCAAATTTAGAGAAGTCATTCTGTTGCTGCCAGTTGGTTTGTGATTTCCTCACCAGAAGGATCATGTACTGCTCAGGGCTGACTCTCCAGAGGAGTCCTGTAGTTGGAGCTTGCTGGCCCTCACCTTCTCTTTGGCTGTTTGTGAGAGGGGGCTGAATTGTCTGGCCTCTCCCTCTTATCTGCTTCCCTATCTCCCTTCTCCCTCTTCCCTCCACAATTTTCCTCAGGGAAATAACTGGTTGCTGCTTTGCACTGTTGAAAGTGGTTCTTGGTTTCTGGCCTGATGTCCTAGGAAGAGATCATACTTTAAAAGCAAAGTGCTATTAGTGAAACACGAATAGAGCATGCTATTCAGTACGTGCAAGTACTTCTCTAGAGAGCAAAACTTAAAGTATGGGGAAATTTGAGTAGGGAATGTGATCATTTAATTGAGTGGGCAGATCTAAAGCTGAGGGACAGTATGCATAGGCCTAAGAACTGGTCAGCACTTGTACTGTCAGTGGCTCAATACTGACACAGAAGGAAGGCTATCAGACAACTAATAGTAAATGCTTGTCAAAGGGTCCTTTTGAGACTTACTCAGTGTTTGGATCATGGGCAAAGTTGTTAAAGTGTTGAGACTGCAGCATGTCCATGCATTTTCTGTGCCAAACCCCTGCCCTTTTAGCAGCCCCTTTGAGATTCCTGGCCATTTCTGATATGAAGACTCAATAGCACCAACCCTACTTAAATACCTTTTCAAACCCGTGCTGGTAACAAACTTGTTCTGGGGATTGTTTATAACTAGGGATCTGCTTACACCCATGGAGTCATTAATGCAGGAATGGGAACTCTTGTACTGGGAGGTACGTGGTCCTCCTGGTTCTGTGGCATCATTTCCTTCTTCTTCCTCAGCTGATGAATGTCAAAAGTTGTGGGTTAAATGCGGGACACGCAGGGAGGTGAAAAGAAACAAATGTTGGGTGGTTTGTTTTTTTTTTGTGTTCTGAGACAAGCAGAGATAAGAATGCCCTCCTGGAGCTTGCTGGTGAAGAGGGGCAGGAATAATAAATGGGGGCATTTTGTTTGTGGGACCCCAGCCAGGCTGTAGAGGGGCTTGATGGGTGAGGGGTTTCAGGATCTTCAAACTCTTTCCTGTTAATGGAGTGGATTTTCCCTTTATGTCCATCTGGGATCCAGGACAATTTCTGTGATTCTAACTTGTGTGCAGTTGCTTACAGGGAAAAAACATTCAGTTTCCAAACTGGTAACTTTGCCATCACATGTCTTTCTTCCCTTTAGTGCAGTTTTTTATCAGGATGGGTGGGGGCTGAGATAAGAACTCGTAAATCTGCATAGGAGTAACTCAGATACATAAACTGTCATTGGGAGCATGAGCATGGTGCTGCCTCTCCTTGCATCCTTATGTTTTGCACAGGAGTCCATCCCTGGAGGAAGTGAGAACTCCTCAGGGGGCTGAATGTCACATTCAGCTCAGAGAATTCACCTTGAAATGATTAATTTTTTTACTTGATGAGTGGGAAAACCTTGCCACCTGGAGGGGGGATCATCAAGTCTATGCCAGAAACTGAGAAATACATGTATGTAAGGCTTGTTTTGTTTTGTTTTTTCTTTGTGGTTTTTTTTTTTTTTGTTTATCCCCCACCAACTTGAAGTGCCAAATAGATACTTTCCACTAAGCTCATGGTAGTACTTGACTTGGAAGCATAGGATTATCTCCTAAAATTCATTGTGTATCAGCAAGGACTGAAGTATCTTGCCTAGGAAAAAAAAAAACCTAGCTTTTAAAGCAGCACTGTTCTGTAGGTTGTGCTGATTATTGCTTTGTGCTGCGTGATTGTGATTTTTGGCACACAGTGTCACATACCAAATTCCCAAAATAAAATGCTACATGATATTCTAAGAGCTCTTAGGAAGCTTTAAAAAGGGATTTGTCTGCTGAGTGGGTATCTTTTCTGGTGAAGCCAAATGATGCAGCAGGATAAAAGGAGGAAACTTTGGTCAGCAGATAATTAGTCTTTTTAAATAAGTGCAAGGGGGGAAAAAAGAAAACCTTCCATTAGTCTCATGTTTGTATAAGTTGTCAGCAATCCTGCTTTGATTGTAAAGGGTTTACAGCTATATGTTTGAGTAGCTAAAACATCTGTTCAGCAATGTTGTGAAATCCTCGTGTTCGGAACCCCTGATAAGGGGGACTGCTGAGCGATTGGCTCGTGGAGGCTCTACAGGGCTGTACGTACAGTGGTCACTGCTTGCCTTTCCTCCTCCTGGTCAGAGGAAAACGTAGGAGACTGCTACTATTTTACGCACTATTTTCCTTTGAGAGGGAGAGAGCAGGAAGTGCCTAGGAAATGGCTCATGACAGAAACCTGGAGCTGTAAATAGGAGAGAGGAGGAGGAGGAGGAGGACAGCTGATGGGTGTAGTTTGTGAACAGTTGAAATACTGATACCACAGCAGCAGGGGAAAAACCAGACTTCTGCGAGAGTGAGCACATCCCAAGCTGTCCCGATGGAAGGAGAGACGGTACCCAAGACCAGGAGAGCAGCCAGCAAAGTCACACGGATTGCCCTTGGCGTCTTTGTGAGTGGCACCGTTGTGCTTGGCACCGTGCTTTTCTTGGGTAAGTGAAAAGGTCGAAGCTCACCTGAACACAGCCTTCCCCAGTCTGTTTGCTCTGTGCGGGTCTGTGTGCTCCACGCGTTCTGGTCTCTTCTTTTTCCCCACAGCTCTGTATTTACTGTGAAGTGGAAATGTATCAGGAAAGGGATTTGTTGGGGGAACAACATAAGAGCTGGAAGCTGCAATGTGAGCTCATGTAACTTTTCAATGCTGAATTTAAATTTGGATAATCAGTTGAATGTATTCTAGCCAGAATTGGGTTCTTTTACAGAACGGGGAGAAACGGGTGAGATTATGCATGTTGGTAATGCTGATTGCAATCTTGCAGATTGTGACTGATATGGACTGTCTCTGTTTCCTGAAAATCAATCTGTAGAGCACACATTTTATGGAATCTTTTGGGGTTTCTTTCATTTGGTTTTCATTTAGGGCTTGACTGAAATTCCTGTAAAAAGCTTCAATGATGCATATGCTTGCACATTTTTTAGATGTTTCTGTTCTTCTATGATGAATTGCAAAGTCGTCTTTGCAGAAATCATAAAGAGTGCATCCGGGATGAAACTAGAATGTTTTGATCAGACCTATAAGCTGCAACTGGGCACAACAGAGAAGGAATTAGTTTTTCCTCTCCAGGATTTGGAATAATCTGTAGATTGGTTTTGTTGGAAGAACACATGGAAACGTATACCTACAGCTATAAAATGATGTGGGGAAGTATAAATGTACCCAGAAACCATTAGACAGAGAAGAGAAAGCAGTGTTGTATCCACCTAAGAACTTGCAGAGACAGATCCTCTTTTGGAATAATTCAGCCCAGCTTTTCATTCCTTTAGACCAACACAGATTTCCCTAGACTGGAGGGAACTTAACCTCTAAGCGTATCCTTTGCTTCCCTCCAGTCCTTTATGACCTTGTGATCTTGTTGGAAAGGTCTACTTCGTTTATAATCACAACAGAGAAAATTATGCCAGGTTTTCTATAGAATATTTAAAACACCAGGCTCTCGGTGTTTTTCTGCTCTAGAGCAAGTTCTCCAAACATTTGCACACAAGTAACTTCTGTGTATGTGAGTAATCCCACTTAGTTCAACAAAACTCTTTATAAACGTGAGCAGGATTGAATCCTCAAGTTGGTAGTGCAAAATATTATTTCTAGATGAAAAAGCTTTGGCTTAAAGAATATAATATCAAACACCAGGGAGTAGTGGAGAGATCTTACTTTTTTTTAGCACTAGATTATTTGTTTACTGCTTGTAAAAAGCAATAGACATTTGCTGCCATAGCTTGTCAGAGATAGAATTGCTTTATCTATAGACCAGATGTGAAAATTCAAGCAAATATATTAATTCTTAGAGATAGTTTTCTAAGTGTGCTGAGGCCTACTCTGTAGCCAGGGATTCTGTGTCAAAAATTTCATTGGCATAACTGCTAAGAAAATAAAAATGCTGGCCTTGGGTCAACCAAAACGTTTTTAGGATTTGTTTGGAAATGGTCTGAGGTTTTCAACCAAATGAATAAAGGAAAAAAGGTGAATTGCTTTGGTTTAACATTTTGTCAGTGCAATGTTTCCATGTTTCATTGTGACGCTGTGTTTTGTTTGTAAATTTGAGTTTAACTCTTTTTTTAGTTTTGTTAAACTGTAGAAAAAGAGACCATTATTTCTGGTCATGTGAAGCTTTTTGGGCACCTCAAGACAACCTTTTTTCTTCAGTTCACTTAATCTGCAAAGCTTGCTGTTTCTGGTAGATCTGAAACAATTTCCCTTCATTTTCCAGCCTGAGGAGTGAAGTGTAGCCTTCTCCTGCTTCTCTTGTTTCTGCTTCTCAGAGTTCCTACAACTCTAAGGGGGGATCTGGGAGAATCATGGTATATGGTGTGGGGGTTTTTTTTTGTTTTGTTTTGTTGTTGTGTGGTTTGTTTTTTTCTGGTTTTTTTTTTTTTTTTATACTGTTACTTGCTTGTATCGGCTGTAGCCCTCCTGCGATTTCAGTGGGGACCTGTCAGGGGAGTCACTTGGCACCACACAGGGTCCCTGCCTGTGGCTCTCCGGACGGTGGTGTGGGCTATGGCAGGACAGGAGCCACCTCCTCTTTGGGAGCCAGGGCCAGAGCAGAAGAAATCGGATCACCCTCCTGTTCTCTCAGGCAAAAAGTCAGGTAGCTTTGAACCTCAATTCAGTAGCCTCTCCTCCTGACTTGGTAGCCCTTTGGTCTTCTTGCATTATAGAAACATCCACATTATTTGTGTCTGCATATTTGTATACCTCTTCCCCTTTCAGATTTTTTTGGGGAACATAATTAGAGTGTGTATTTGTTTAAGAATCTGGAAACAAGCTTTTAAAGGAAGAAGTGGAGATACTGACTGTTATAGCCACAACTGTAGGTAATAATGTAATGGTTGGTTCTCGTAACAACAACAATAAAGAGGCAAGAGAACAGAACCAGGTAAAGCTTTTAAATCAAAATTAGCTGTTAATTAAAAAGGAAATGTTACTGCTAAATGATTTTTTTTAAAATTTGCTCTAATGATGAAGTTATAAATGGATCAAAATGAGTTGAAATGGTATTTTGCTTTTATAAGTATGAAAGCCACGAGTGCTACTTTGGATTCTTTAATAATTCTTTTTCATTTTCCCTCATTTTCCATCCAGTGCAAAAGAATTAAATGGTGTCTGCAATTTTCCTTTCTTTCTCTGCTTTGTTAAGAAAAAAAAAATCTGGCAAACTTTCAAGACCTGGACAGGTTCTAAAAGGCTAGCTTTAAAGCAGGAAAAGGTGAATCTCCACAAATAAGGACTGCAACACTTTCAAAAATTAATTAATAGGCACATTATCCATTGTTTGTAATTCACATAGCTCAAAATCATATTCTAGAAACTTGCACTTCTGTTTTCTACTGTTCTTAAATTTTCCAATTACAATCTTTATATGCTTCAAAATCTTGTGTAATTCTTGGCTAATTTACAAAGATTGTTGAAGTGTTGTGTTTCATTGAGTCAATGCAAGCTTTGGCAAAATTGTCCAAAAATAGTTTTATGTTCTAAGTTTCTAAGAAACTTTGATCAAGACCCAGTCATTTCTGTCATCAGTTGTCACTAAAGCTATGAATTTGGAAAAGATGAAACAGCTTTATATTAAATTCTAGCTGTAGGTTTTTTATAGTAATTTTTTCCTGTACTGAGACATGTTTTCCTGTCCCTTTTGAACAATATTAAACTACAGGAGAAATTGCTTTATAACTATCAGTACTGGTAAAGCTACGATACCTTAATATATTCCCTTGTTAGATTTTTTTTCTAATTTTTTATTTTTGCCATGGATTAAGATAATGGATATAACAAAATATTTCTTTACTGAACACATCTACTGAGTCTTATTTCATCTACCCCTTGGGACTCTCCCATCCTCATCGCAAGTATAAATTATCTGCATATTTGCTGCCTGACAGCAATGTCTGAAATTTGCAATTCCTATGCTTAAGTTTCAGTGGCAGCTGTAATATACACTTTTGAGAGACGAACAAAGTTATCTGACAGTTTCATAGTTCTTGTCAGCAAGGTTTTTGGAAGCAATTACAATAATTTCGGGAGGCAGTTTGGACAGAAACTGCATTGTGCCTTACAAACCACAGGTATCCCTGTGCCCATTGCTATCTAGTTTATTCAAAGCTGGAATAAAGAGACCCTGAAAGTGTTCTGTTGGTGCGGGGCTGGGCAGTGCATTGCTGCTGGTGGAGAAGGTGCAGGAGGGCAGCACGAGCTCTGTAGCTCAGGAGCTGTGAAAACCCTGCAAAAGATGTCTAGATAGCTCCACGTTGTGTGAAGGGTGCATCTCTGGAGGATGATAGCAACGATGATTAATTGTTTGTATTGCGGTGGCCCTCGCAGTCCATGAGTAAGGCTGGAGTGTTGTTACTCCAGGCACTGTGCAAATGTAGAGTGAGGCAGCCCTTGCTCCGTGCTGCCTATGAGCAAAGACAGAGGAAGGAGAAAGCAGGCACACGAGGGGAAAATAATTTATTAGGAGCTGCAGTATTTATTTAATATACATTCTAACTGTTTTAAATCAGTACAGTCAGGGATGCATTAGGGCCAGAGCCTGCATTGATATTTGAATGATCAAGTACACAATGTTTGGCTGCAATGGTCAAAATTCATTAGAAATGATCTCATTATGGTTTTCTATTTTGCAGTTAGCCAAGGTCTTATAAAGTTTCATCCAAAGCAACAGTACTGTTTGACCTCAGAATGCATTGAAGCTGGTAAGCAACAATTTTATGCTCTCTATTATATCATGATTATAGTACCTTAATGAGATATTTGTTATTTAAATTTTTTCCATGATACATTTTACTCAGAAAGCTTCATTAATAATGAGGGACTCCTCCCCCCCCCTTTTAAAAAAATTGCTGCATATCTGTTTATTTTCTGCAATGAAATTTCATGTTTTAAATTGTTTTAACTCTGTCCTACCCATGTTAACTCAATGTTTCCTGTAGGGTTTGTTGGGTTTTTTTTTGTTTTGTTTTGTTTTGTTTAATGAGAAACCAAAAGTTGGGTGACTTGACATTCAGGTGTATTTTGTTGTATTTTTCCCAGTAGCCAGAAAACTAGCAAGTGAATTGTTAACCACAGGGATGCTTTAGGGCCAGATCTTGCCCAGACTTGCACGACAGTAGTGTGGTGACTACAACTCAAATCTGCAACTACTTCCATATTGGCAGGCTTTTTTTCTCCACGCAGCGGTACGTGTGGTAACCCTCATAGCGCTGGGATGTTTATTGGTGTTAAATGCAAGCTAAAGGGATTGGGCTTGGTAGGACCTGAGAGCCCTGTTTTGCATTGGTCAGTTTTGACAGTTTTGCTCCCACTAAATCAGTGGGAGTTTTGTGTCGTTTTGTGTAGCAAGAGCAAAGATCAAACGATAGTTACCACATCTGGAAGTCTGCCCCTAGAGCTGTTTTATTAGAAACAAAGTGGACATCGTGTCAAGTTGAGTATTTATTTCCATTCTGAACCATATTAAGCTGATACTGTGAGGTGTTTGAAATCCTGATGAAATTCTGTGGGGCTCCATACATTGAAGAATTTGAAGATCTCAACATTACCGGGATGTTTCTTGCCATTCTGCTTCCACTCTGCATTGCACTGGTGGTGCTCTTCCCCTCTGGACACCACTCTCCTGAGCTGATTCTTGAATGACTGAAAATATCTAAGGTGGGATGAATAACCAAAACAACACCACCCCTAGCCCTCCCAATACCCCAGCCCCCCAACAAAACAGCAACAACAACAAAAAAAAAATGTTTGGGGGCTTCATTTTGAGCTTCATAACAAAAAAAAAAAAAGTCACTGAAGAGGTTTGGATGTGAATTGGCTTTTGTCTTCTCACATGCACCCAAAATAACACAGATTTTTTTTTTTTTGTTAAGCTCAGCAGAAGTTGGCATTTTGCGCCAAGGCAGACCTGGACAGCTACACGACCTGACTGTTCTGTCTCAGAGCGCACTGTGTAGTGATCACACATTGTCTCAAGACCTGAGCCTTTCCTTGCTCAACAACTTTTCAGCAGTGACAGAAGATTGCCAAGGACCAAAATGTCCTCCGCGTAGTCAGTTTGAGAGCTTCCAAAGTGAGAGATAATTACACAGAACTATCATAGAAAGAATTACTATAAGTAAAAATACTGGATGCTCGAAATAGTACCATAAAGTCAGTAAAAGTTACCAGTTTCCTGATAGGATTTTTAATCGCTTGTTTGGAGAAGCTTCAAAACACACTGTCATATAGTCAAAAAATATCCAAGATCTGCATATCTCATGTTACTTGACCCGTGTGGATTTTTGCCACAATCACTATAATGCACAAGCATTTGATTAGATACTCAAAGGTTATTAAGTCTCTGGCTTGTCAGGCTGATCTCTTTCTTACCAGTCTCACTTGCAAGAGCCACTGGTGGGGATGCAGTCACAAAATGGAGCTGAAATTGCTACAGTTATCTCCTCCAGTGAATGGTAGATCAGAATGTGATTTGTTTTCTTGTGCAGCTATTCAACTAAAGGTAAACAGTGCATAATTTCTGGAATGCTAATTAGAATCTGCTTGATCTGTATTGCTTCTAAATTCCTCAGACAATTAATTCCGTTATGGCAGCAATGTAGAGACTGTCTTCAGGTGTCTGGCTCCAGCAGTTGATGTTTCCAAAGCACTAGGTTCAGTGGTCCTTGCTGTACACAATTCAAGAGCATTCATTGCAGATATTTTGCCTTTTTTTGCTTCTCATATATGCACTACTTGATGCTAGAGAAGCTTGGGGAAGGAGGGGGGATATTCTTGCTGCTGTTTTACAAATGGCAGAGATGAGCATATAGAGCAAAACTTACCTTGCAAGTGAGGTCAGCGTCACATTGCAGAAACTGGTAAATGTTAATCATCGTTTCTGGATTGTAGCCTCATGTAATTCTCTGTTTAGGAAGAAGTGTTCCACAAAAATCTATGTGGTGTGTTTTTCACAGCTGCTGCCATCTTAAGCAAGATAAATCAATCTGTAGATCCATGTGAGAATTTTTATCGATTTGCATGTGATGGCTGGATATATAATCACCCTATTCCAGAAGACATGTCGAACTATGGTGTTTATCCTTGGCTGCGACACAATGTGGACCTCAAACTAAAGGGTAAGTATGTAATTTCTGAAAGCGGTTAGTTGGATTTTCAATATAGTTTGTTAACTGGCCAGTTTTGAAATGAATAAAGACTCCATACTCCTTTCTGATCGTTGGATAATATCCAACAGCCCAACTTGATGTTCTCTTTTAAGTATATTTTTGTTGGGCTTTATTGAAAATAACATTGGGACATAATGAGTTATAAGAGAATTTGAGAGGAGGAATACAACCACTGCAACTCTACAAGTTAAGAATGGAGGGCCAAAAGGATACTCCTTGTAATAGGGGACAGGATTTTAACGCTTTCCCTCTTGCAGTAGATGGGTAGACCAGAGTGCAGGAGCACAGCATGCACATTTTGGAATGTCCCAGATCCAGACAAACATCAGTCTAGGACAGCACTCTGTCTCTACTGTGGCCAATAGCAGGAAAAGAATATAATAAGGCAAAAAGGGAGCAATATTTTCTAGTATACTTGCCTAGCTCTCGGCAAGAGACAATTTACAGACTTCCAGAGAGATGGAGGTTATTTGGTTATTGTGTTTGCTTCACGTTGCTATTCAAGCTGCCATTGGGGTACCTGAGCTATCATCAGTGAAACAGAAGGCTGCATAAGAATGTGTGTCTGGAGGAAAAAATAGCCCCAGGGTGGAAACCTGTAGGAAGAGAGGTATTTTAATCTGTATGTGACTTTGTGCTATACTCTGCAGCAAGGCCACCTCATCAGGAAGCTGTGCAGACCAGCTGGGGAGAAAGGGTGGTGATTATTGTCAGGGAGGAAAACCCTGCCAGGTTCTTATAATCTTTGCTAAAAGTGCATCATGCAGAAGAAGGGAAATGTGCAAGATTTACTGATGGTGGTGTGCTTGAGCATTGCATACCTTGAGCGCGTTATTGACCTGTTAGTTGAGCTCACTGCAGAAGAGAGGTCACTTTTAGGATACTGTGCTCAAATATAGCATTTATTTTTTCTTAATTTTATACGTACGGGCATGTGTAGGCATCAAAGCCCTTCTATGCTTGCTTTCTTCAGTCATATCATATTCAGTTTTCGCACCATTAAGTATTTTAAAAGTTGCATTCAGTTTCAGAATATGAGTGTGGAATTTCAGCATAGGATGTGATCTGGTGACTGCTGTTTCAAGTTTGCTGAAGATGTCACAACCAAAGGAAAAAAATATTGCCAGGGCCTGTTTTAAGTTATGCTTTGCATTCTAGTTGTTCTGCTGCCAGAGTCGGGCTGTGTTAAATAACTGCACATCCTGCATGAACCACAGCCACAAAGAAGCCAGTCCTAATTGAATATAGAGTAGCAAGCTGTGACTCTTATCCTTAATTTCCTCTTTTTACAGAGCCTAATCAAGGACATCATGCTAAGTCACATTTTTGTACCATTTTCTTACTGCAGTTCTTTTAGAAGTTGCTAATCCATAGCTAGGAAAATACAAGATAAAGAAAGAAACATCTAAGTGAGAAGTATTGCTTAATGGAAACTCCAGATCAAAAAAGGGTTGTAATGAAGTGCCTGATAACTACTTTAATAGGAGGCCTAAACTCCTCCCTGGCATGGTACAGGGACAAAGATGTGAAATGTTGACTGGTGTAGAGGAGTTGATTTAATATTACATTTGTCATCTCTAACTTTTTACTTAAACTTTCCAAAACACCTTCTTGGTAATTAAAAAAAGGGTGTCAGTGTTGGTAGCTGAAATAGCAAGGTATAACTTCAGCCTATATGTATGTTTGGTGTTTTGAGTTACTTCAATAAATTACCTTGACACGTTGAGTTATTAATTTGTGGACGACCAAAACCTTGCTATCAAAAATTTTAGGAAGATGAAGATCTCTTGGATAAAGAAAGATATATATGGCTGACCAGACCTTGGAAGCCAATTTAATCTCTCCTTATTAAAGAACTCTTAGTGGAACTTTGTGCCTCATTGTAAATGTCCCTGTTTGACACTCAGTAGATTAAAAGAGCCCCAGTCTTTAAAGAGCTGATGATTATGCAAATTCTATGTCCTGAAATTTTTATCATATTAAAGAAGACTATTAATATTAAAGTGATAACATGGCTTGGCCAGAAAGCCATATTTTCATATTTCATTTTCTTTGATGGTATGATATAGATGGAAGTATTTATTCAGACAATATATTAAAAAATGTTGTTACTCAAAATAAAATCTTTGAACATCTAACCTGTTTTCTGGTCCCTGAATGTTCCTGAGCCTTAGGCCGAAAGGGAATTTGGGTATTTGTGCAAAGGCCTGTGTACAGCCTTGATCACACAAGGTTATCTTCAGTCTTCTGGAAGCTACATTTTTTTTGTTCAGGGAACATTGCTATGGAAGAAGATATTCCAGTTGATAATGGGTGGCAAGTGTAAGAATTAGGTTTGTCTTACCAAAAAGTGGTAGGTGTAACTGTATAATGTACAGAACCCTGCATTAATTATTGCCATGTTTGAGAGCAAGGCTTTTTTTGTTTTCCTTTTTCTTTTTTTGAAGTTGCAGACATACAAGAGCCTATGACTCTGCAGGTGTCAGCTTCAGGAAAGGGTAGAATATTTTTTGTGTCAGTGAAGGTTTTTGATGCTTTAATGGGGAATTCCAAATAAAGGAATGGCAATGGGTCAGTGGAAAATAGCTGAAAAATACTAAGTGGTAGATTTTCTGCCCATGTATCTCTGGTTGATTGAAGGAATCAGACAAGAAATGTTAATTTCAGGGTTCTTCTAGATTTGCAAAATTTAATGTGATAGTTAAAAAGGCTATTTTTTGTAAGATTAGGGTTTATAATGGAGTAGGAATTTATATATAAAATATATATTAAAAAAAAAAGTTCCCATGCCTTTCTCTAGCCATCTTAGGATGGATTCAAACTAAAATGATATAATCATTTCCCCATTAATTTCTTTTCTATCTTTTGTCTGAGGGTGACTTAGATTTCTTTTTCTGCTCTCAGAGGAATACGCAAACCACATGTGTAACTCACTTTGATCTCATGGCTATACAAAATGGATAAAATCATAGCCTGATGAAAGCAATGGTAGGTCTTCCTTTGGACATCAGTAACAGCAGAATTTCATGTATTGTGGAGGAATGTACAGGAGGCAATTGTAGATAGACAAAGATATGTTAAAGGCAGAGACTTGTTGTTTTGGTTATGACACAGATCCAGGTAACACGCATCTAATGTTTAGGTTAAAATTTACTGGTTCCTTATAGGACTGCCCTGGGCAGGACTGAGATAGTCCTGCTTCCAGTTAACCATTCCTGGCTGGACCAGGCTGTCCCTGACTTGAAGCAAGCCTTTCATTTACAGATACACTGCAGGCATGTTAAAAAGTTGTTTAAGAACAACCGCTTTTAGTGCTAATGAGCATCTGAGAAAGCTCTTGGGGTCCTTCAAAATGGAAAAAATGGTTTGACTGTGGCACCTGTTGTATGAGCAAAAGCTATGTCAAACTGCAACTATTTCACCTTTATGTCAGGTGAAGATTGCAATGTCTCTGAGTTAATAAATGTTCTTCGCTTACCATTAAATTTCCTGCAAAGCTATTTGTATTCCTGCTCAATTTTTCCATTTTGGTTGGTTAGGACAACTATTGTCTTACCATCGAAATGCAAGTGTCTTTTTGTGAATAATTCAGAACTGGAAGTCTAAGACAAGTAGATCAGTGCCTATTACTAGTGGTGAATGTTGATTGTGAACCAAGCAGTTTATTTTCCTTTCTCTGAAGTCTGCAGAACAATAATAATACAGCTGTTCTTTTTTTTTTTTTTCCTCCAAGTGACCATGCAGGAAGCAATAAATTAAAAAAAAAAAAAACCACAACACAAACACAACTGAACTATGCAAACATTCCTAAATCTCAGCACTGCAAAGGAGCAGATTTAAATTATGTAAATAATTTGTGAACATGTCTTCCAGGCCTTTTAAATTTAATTTACTTCTGTGGAAACCAGTTTACAGATTAAGTCTCCGTACTGATCCTGGTCCAATGAGACATCTACTTCAGACTAATTTGCTGCACTAAGCTTTCTAGCATGGCTATTTTCTGAATACCAGTCAATTTAAAGTGAGGAATTTCCAGTGTGGCAAAGAGAAAGAAATAGAGGAGGATATGGTGCATGGGTTTTTAAAGAACATGAAACAGCAAACAAAACAAATTGGCAGTGTTGGCAGCTTTTCCCAAGATAATCTGCAATAGTTTTCTTTAGAAAATAGCTTCTTTTTAAAGTAAAACCAGTAAGGTAAAAATATCCCGGTATGGAAATTTATACTATTTAACCACAGGATAGTCCTTTTGGACAAATCCCAGAGGCTGGTGTTGAGTGGCTGCTGTCCTGCACAGACGATCCTGTGCCACAGTGCTTTTTAGGGCTGGTTTCTCTTCTCCCACCCTTCAACAAGTGGTTGGTTGGGGACACTTTGTGCTGGGAGATGGCTTTCATGGGGCCCATGAAATATGTAATGCAGCTGCTGGCATTCATCTCTGGTTTCTGTATCCGCTGACCCATCTTTTGTGATTTCTTCCTTCAGAGGTACCTGGTTGAGAGCTGCCCCAAGTAAGAGGGAGAATACCAGCAGTAATTAAAAAAAAAAAAAAAACAAACACAAAAAAAAAAAAAGCCAACCCTCAGATGATATTTATGCTATCGATTCCAATATCTTCTTGTTGGGTAGCTGCTCCTGGATAACAAAATAGCAGCAAACAGGAACAGTGCTTAATGCTGGTTTGCTTGGTGTTTTCTACTAAAAATGGACCACTTTTCAGTGGTACAGACTTCTTTTTTTCTCCAGAGTTCCAGATCTTTCCTATAATGGCTGGTTCATCTAAATGTAAGAAAAAGATATAAGTGGCACAAGTCATATAAATCTCTCTGGGCAAAAAGTGAATAGCTTTTCGTTAAAAATGAAGTACCTGAGTCAAAGGTGGAGAAGCCAGGGCTTTTTCCAGGCTTTGTGGCTGCTTGAAATTAAAGTTGTATTTGTAATGGGTGATT